TAGCAGACATTTTACTCTCTGAGCCATCTCCCTAGCCTCTGGTTTTCAAACTTCCAGGACCACAAAAAGAGAAATGACTTTTACATTTAGATTCCATCCATGCAGATCACGCAGCCTGGAATGTAACCTCTGAGACAGATTTTTGCCAGGATATTTTTTTTTTGAAATGTTAGAAATAATCCCAGTGTCATACTAAGGAATACATACAAACAAAATGAAAGTAACTCAGCAAATCAATTCTTTTTGTAAAAAGGGTGCACTAGAACCCAAAGCTGGCTAGCAACACACCAGGGCTAACATGACTTCTGTCATTTATCCCTGATGTCGGTGGTATCTGTATATTATCCCTTTAGTAGGACCTTGACTTCACTAGCTAATATGATTCATTAATCAATGCAAAAGGTTAAAGTTTAGAAAATACAAGCCCTTTCAGGGTTAATTGCTTTCAACAAAACAAAACAAAACAAAACAAAATCTGTTTCTCTCAATGACATAGTCTCACTATGTAGAACTGTTCTGGAACTTGCTGTGTAGACCAAGCTGGCTTCAAATTCAGAGATCCATCTGCCCCTGCCTTCCAAGTGCTGAGATTGAAAGTGTGTGCTACCAGCTGGGCAGTGGTGGCGCACGCCTTTAATCCCAGCACTGGGGAGGCAGAAGCAGGCAGATCTCTGTGAGTTTGAGACCAGCTTGGTCTACAAGAGCTAGTTTCAGGACAGCCCCCAAAGCCACAGAGAAACACTGTCTCCAAAAACAAAAAATCAAACCAACCAAACAAGAAAACAATGTGTGCTACCATGCCTGCCCATGCTTTTTTTTTTTTTTTTTTTTTTTTTTTTTTTTTTTTTTTTTTTGGAGACAGGATTTTTACTATGTAGCTAGTAAAACAAGGTAGCTTGGATCTCACTGAGAAGCCAGTATTGTATATCAATTTTCTGACCCATCCACCTTAGAGGGAAGCTTAAGACACGGGATGTTCTATAGAGAAGTAGAACATTCCATCCTGAAGGGAAGCTAGTTAAGTTCAGGAAATAAACAACTCAAAAGCTTCAGAAAGTTCTTGAAACTTCCTCCCCCTCCATATAGAAAGCTGCTGAGAGACACTAAAGCTAAGCTGTCCAGAAGATCTCAGATGAGCCAGGCTACCTGGAAGCAACAGAGACCAGCCTAACAGCTTACCGGAGCCTCATACCTACTAAGCTACCTAGAAAGGACATCTTCCAACCTGTCGAGCTGCCAGTAGAGCAGTAGTATGCCCCAGCCTTTTATGAGCTGTGCCCAGGCTGGGGTGGACTTTGGTGATGCAGCTCGCACTTGTATGTAATCCCAATAAAATGTATTGGTTCATCAAGTTGGGCTTTGGTTGTATTCTTAGCTGTTGGTTTTCTATCTGGGGTTGGTAGACATTTGTTCACAACTCCCCAGGAATAGTGTGACACAACACCCAGGCTGGCCTCAAACTTGCAATTCTTCTGCCTCAGCTTCCCAAGTCCTAGGATTATAGGCATGTGCCATTATGCCCGGCATGCAGAATGTCCATTGAGAAGTCCCTCAGAATAGACACACATGGAGGTGAAAAAGTAGCAAGAATGGAAATGGGAAGGAGTCACGCTACTGACAACAGTAGATGGCCTCAATTAATCTTGAATACACTGGCATGATCTTCAGATTACTGAAAACTGGAGATGGGGATCAGGCTTTTACATACCTACCTGCCACTTATTGGATACAGATACAACCAGGAAGAGGACATGGCCTGGAGCAAGTAGCTTTCTTCCTGGAGAGTCCTATAGAAGGACCTTGATAAAATCTGGTGGCTGCCAATAATCTTGGCAGCTGGAAGAATGAATGCTTCAGTCCTAGAGGAGAATTTAGATAGCACAACACAGATATGTAGATATAGATAGATAAATAGATTGATTAGAGCCTGTGTGTTTACATACACACACATATAACAATTCATTGATCGGATCCAGTGGCTCCTTTCTGTAATCCTAGCAGTTGGGAGACAGGAGGGTCAGAAGTTCGAGGCCAGGTTCAACTACATAGTGAATTTGAGGCCAGGCATGAGATCCTGTCTATAAGTAAATAAATAGAAAAAGGAAAAATAAACCAAAAATTTCAATACTGTAATATTCCAAGAATTAACTTCATGCTACCTTCTCAACCAATAACAAGACATGTGTATTTCCCTGATAATCAGGGAATCATTAAATTTCCAATCTTGCAGCATAGACATCTCATCTTGCAAAAAAATGAATCTGTTAGTCTTACAATCTTTTCTTTAGCATCTAGCAGCCTACATTGTATATAATAGTTTAAAGCAAAATACAGGTGGATGGAAGGAGGGATTTGTATGCCCAGAGACATGGTAGTTTTGCTTTTTTGGCTTCTCCTATAGAGATCCATTGGCCCAGGGATCATGAGGCCTGAGCTCACCATCTGTCAAATGACTTGGGAAATTTTACTTTACTTTTCTGAGCTTGATTTTTTTCCTGCCAAAACTAAGGCTTTTCCCATTTATTAGTCTTGCTTCAAAGAGAGACTGGACCTGCATTCCCAGACCTGATTGGTATAAATGGAACGTAGTGAGCTAAGCACTCTAGATCTGAGAAGTGGAACCTGGCTCTAGCTCTTTTCACACAGTTGCAAGTCTGTGACTTTGGAGAAGTCCCAGATAGGCAAATGGTCACTGTCTTAAAATTGAAATTGTCATTGGCTACTCTCTGAGATTTATTTCTGCATGAAAGTTCTATGCTCTGGAGTATAGAAACAAGAAATCAACTGATGTGGGTTGGAAGATAAATATGAAGTAATTTTCTGTTGTCTGCTCACCTCAATTGCCCTAGAACATAATCCACTGTGCCTTACCATTGTCCAACTGCTATGTAAGTTACTTAAACTCCGGCCTTGAGGTTGTCCTTTGTGAAGACGTGTGTGTGTGTGTGTGTGTGTGTGTGTGTGTGAGAGAGAGAGAGAGGGAGAGAGAGAGAGAGAGAGAGAGAGAGAGAGAGAGCATAGTAACTTCTGATGTCTTTCTCAATTGCCCTCCACCTTATTTTTTTGGAGCAGTCTCTCAGTGACTCTAAAGCTTATCATTTAGCTTTTATGTGGGTCCTAGGGACTGAACTCAGGTCCTTGTGCTTGCATGGCAAGCACTTTACTGACTGAGCCAACTCAGTCCCCATGAACGATATTTTTTAAATTATCTTTAGCACTTCTTTTTAAAAATTAAAAGGTGTGTGTGGGTGTGTGATATGTGTACACATGGGTGTATCTGCTGTGGCACCTGTCTGGAGGTCAGAGCACAACTTTGTGAGTTGGTTCTCTCCTTCCACATTTACATGTACTCCAGGGATCAAATTCAGGTTTTCAGGCTTGCTCAGCAAGCACTTTCTCCCATTGAGCCATCTTGCCAGCTCTATCTATCATCAGTATTTTTCAGCTTTACTTTATGAGATAATTTGAAATGGAAGAATACATTTCTTGTCTCTTTTCATGGAGCCATTATCTGCCCAATTCCCTGTTAATACATAAATATTAAATATTAGCTAAATGTGGCCAGTATCATCGTAGATAATTCTCTTCAGCCTAATGTGAAGCACTCTGGCTGCTGTTCTTCAGCTGTACTGTCTACTGCCTTCCAGGCGGCATGACTTCCATGCAGGTACACGGCAGTTAGGACAGAACTGTGCTATCATACCATTTCTGAATGCCTTCTTTTCTATTTAGTACCAATACTTTCAGATGACCGATAACTCCCCCCTCTGTTTTTTTTTTTTTTTTTTTTTGAGATAATGTTTCTTTATGTAATAGCCCTGGCTGTCCTGGAACTCACTTTGTAGACCAGTCTGGCCTTGAACTCAGAGATTCCCCTGCCTCTGCCTCCGAAGTGCTGGGATTAAAGGCGTGAGCCACCGCTGCCTAGCACAATTCTCTTTCCCTGTAAACATACACGAGACAGTCTCAGATAGCCCAGGTGGGCCTCCAATTTGTTACATACTCAAGGGTGACCCTGAATCTCTGATCCTCCTGATTCCACCTCCCACATGCTGGGATTGCAGGCAGGCACCACCAGGCCTGGCTTTGTGCAGTGCTGAGGACTGATCCCAGGATCCTATGCAAGCTGGACAAGCATTCTACCAACTGAGGCATATCACTAGCCCCTTAACATAATTTTAAGTTCTGTAAGTTATTATCACAAAGTATTCACTCCATAGATATGATGTCTAAAGTCCATTAATTCAACAAAGTGATATTTATTAAATTATTTATTAAATTACAGATGCTGTTAAAGCAATTACAATATGCAAATATGCAAGATTTCAGGATTCTGAATGAAACATAGAGGAAGGCTGTGTACTGCTGGCAAGCAGTTAGGTGATGCTCACACTTGAGAGCCTGAAATAACTTTGGGGTTATTTAGTTATCAGAAAAACTGATAACTTTAGAGATCTTTTGAAGCTTAAAAATCTATTACTAGCAGTCTATTATTCTCCAAGTCTTTGAAAACTTTTTTTATTTTTTATGTGTGTGTGTGTGTGTGTGTGTGTGTGTGTGTGTGTGTGTGTGTCACAGGTGTACAAGTATCCACATAGGCCAGAAGAGCCTGCCAGATCCCTTGCATCTGGGTTGCAGGCCTTTTGTCAGCTGCTCAGTGTGTGTGTGTGTGTGTGTTGGGAATTGAATTCAGACCTTTTGCAAGAACAGCTAATCTCTGAGCCATCTTTCCAGCCTTTATCCTCTAAATCTTGAATAAGCTAATTGTGGGAGATTTTCCTTCTGGATGAATTTTGCCTTTGTTACAACTGACCGGTGTGTCTTCATACTCGTGTGTGGGAAAGAGAATGCAGTGCTTCTTCTTCTTCTTCTTCTTCTTCTTCTTCTTCTTCTTCTTCTTCTTCTTCTTCTTCTTCTTCTTCTTCTTCTTCTTCCTCTTCCTCTTCCTCTTCCTCTTCCTCTTCCTCTTCC